TCAAACAGAAGGGTGTTGATGTCTCACATATTGACAGTAGTTGGCTCTTGAAATCATTTTAAGTTTTAATATTACGGAATAAATCAAGGGTCCAGTACAGCAAGTCCATTTAAGGTCTCCAATCTTGTGTAATAATTCATTTTTGAATGAATAGAGTGATGTATAGTTAATAAATACGAATGGTTGAATATATATATATATTTTATATATATATATACACACACACACACACACACACACACTGTGTACTTATTTACTGGAAAGACAAAAATACTAAGTCATTATACCTCTAAAGTTATCAGTTTTATTTGACAAAGTCAAAGTCAAAATAGATTAACAGGGCTAGGAGAGTAGCTCCATGGTAAAATGCTTACCTGGCATTCAAAGTTTGATCCCCAGCACTGCAAAATCAAAATGAAAACAAAACAAAGTTTAACAGTGGGACTTTAGTACTGCTTCTAGCCTTTTGTTTTCTTTTCATTTCTTGGAGCATCAAATATCTCAAGCCTATTTCAATAGGATGGTGCATTTATGAGAGATTATCATTTACCTTGTGTTTGACAGATTTGGATATGTTTAATGGGGAGAAAATCCTATATTACTTTCAATACTGTATCATTCTCCTGGACTTTTGTATGTAATCAAAAGAGAGTTGGCTTTGGAGCGAAAGATCCGTATAGGACCATGTGTAAGTTATTGAAATTCTGCAGGCCTTAGTCTCCTTTGTTACATTATTGTTATAAAACTTAATTAAAACATGGATTTAAGTGAAATAAAGCCATTAATTTTTTTCCTTGTTCTATTCCTGAATTAATCCCCATCAACATATGAACAGTTAATTCTTTACCTTCTAGGTTAAGGTAAAATAAATCAAATAGGTAAAAAAAAAAGTCTTCCATTCCTTTTACAAATATTTCACTATTCAATATGGTGTAGCCTCCTTTAATGACCAACTTAAACCCCACAGCAGCTGAACAGAATTTCTTACCTTTTCAGAAATCCTTAACATTAATTGTCTGAAATATTTATTCTATTCTAACTAGTGGCTGCCTTTAGTTCTCACTGTTTACCTGATTTTGCTTTTGAATATATTTTATAGCCATAAATAAAACATAAGCTCCCTGAAGTTAGAAGTCTTGCATCCCTCCCTTTCTTCTTTGCTCCTGCCTTTCTTTTCTTTTCCTTCTCATAATCTTGCTTCATATAGTACCTATCCAGAAGGCAAGTGGTGGTAGGGAACAAAAAATATTTTTAAGGAATTGAATATTCATGCCATTAGTTTCATAATCTTTTTTATTTACATGCTAAATTACAAAAATTTAAAAGACAAATTAATGCATTTTAATGTCCCCCATATGATCAAATTCAATGGTTCATAAAATGTCATCTTCTGGTTTGTACCATGTTGAGTTCGTCCATTAACTCAAAGGGAATAAAAACTATGACAAAGTTCAGAAATTCCCAGTCAGTAAGGTTAGTGTTAATTGCTACTTAGTTTTGTATTTGTCTGAATCACTTTCTTGTCACTAAGACAAAATACCTGATATCCACAGTTCACGGTCAGCATTTTCCAGGGCAAAATGGCATGGTGGAAAGGCCTGAGTGGAGAAAACTGCTCACATCAAGGAAGAAGAGAGCAATGGAAGAAGCCAGGGAGGGAGATACACCCTTCTAGGTCATGCCCTCAGTGACCTGCCTCTTCTAATCAGGCCCTACCTTGTAACAGCAAAGTCAGGTCTGTTGACCAAATAATTCAGTTACCTTCCAAATATCTTGCCTATGAACAAATGAAGACTTTGGGGGGACATTCTCAATCTAAACCATAACAATTTTAAAAGAAACTGAATTATATACAATATAGAAGTTTCTAGAAAAATTTTAGAGTACTGTTTCAGTATCTGCTACTTTATTAATTTATATTCATCTTTTTTTTTCACTTCAACCCAGGAATTAATCCAGCCAACACAAAAATCTTTAGCAAGAAAAAATATCACATTGAACATATCAAGAAGGTTGTAGCTGAAGGCCAGGAAGAATAAATATATAAGGATGTCATTTGCTGAAAGGTGTTAGCTTCAAGTAGTCTCTCTTAAACTTCATTTTATATAGCTCTGGTCAATTTCATAGCCTCAACCAGCACTGAACAGGGAAATTGGAAAACTGCAGAATTGATTTGCAGAAGTGAAGTTCTACTTTCTTTTATACCTCCTTCATCAGAGCTGCTATTATTCTTGTGTTCTGTGGTATTATTATTGACAGTAGCCCAGGCACAGCTGATAATTGCTAAAACCCATTCTCTTAAAATGGAAACAGAAAAAAACAAGATGACTATGCAGCTTTTCCATTTTTTAAATCTGTTTTCATAACTCTTAGTCTTTGCTACAATTTAAATGTAAAGAATTACCTTCCACCAAGCATCTATGCGCTTTGCTTTTGGTACCTAGGCAATAGATATTACAATGATAAAGCTTTAAATGTCTGTTTTGAACCAAATGTAGGTCCTTCAAATATTCTAGATTTCTTTTTCAATTTTCATTCTTAGTAAAGATTTTGCTTAACTGTAAATATATCAGAAACGTGTTTTAGAGGACAATATAGTACTAATTACATTAGTATATTTAATTGGCTCCTGTTAAATTTGAAATTAAAGCTACTTCTTTGAAAACAAAGCTATTTAGTACCAACCCTGAGACAGAATCTCCTTTGTATTCTTAAAGATCATTGAGAATGAATAGGAATATTGCTTCAGTTTTGACAGTCTCCTATTTATTCTCTTCTTTCAAATGCATAATAATGATAATGAAATCTTTACTATGCAATGCCATCTGCCTAGAAGAATGGGGTCTATTTATATGTGTTATATAAATGGTAAGGTGGGAATTATAAATTTTTATTTTTCATATTAATATTGGCTTTTAAAATTTTTATTGGTTCTTTATATTCTGCCCTAACCAAATTTAGAAATCTTTATGGGTCAAAGAATCAGAAAACTTCTTTAATTAATTTAACAATATTGGCAAGATTGTAGGTCAATAGTTGAGAATTAAATGAAAAAAATTGGTCAAATTTCTTATGGACTAAGTAGAAATTCCTCTATTTTAAAAGGTTTGAAAAAGTTGTCAATTAAATTTGAATTTCAGACAAACAATAATGTTTAAGTATGTTCCAAACAATGCATATCCTGTTTTTTGTTAAATGTGACAACCCTGAGGATTGATGCCATTGATTGATAGCATCAATATTGTAAACAAAACCTCTACTTTTTAAATAAATTCAGGTCATGAAAATTGAAATTTAAAATTTTGAGCAATAGAAGTTAAATCAAGTTTATCCACATAGAACTGTACAGAAAACGTTTTTATTAAAAGGAATTATAAGTGCATGTGGATGTTCATGAACTCCATTTCCAAGCAATCACAACTTTTTCTAGTACTGGGGATTGAACCTGTAGGGCATTCACACTGAGATACATTCTCAGCCCTTTATTTTTATTTTGAGACAGGGTCTTACTACACAGATGAATTGTCCACGTTGGGCTTGAACATATGATCTTCCTGCCTTAGTCACCCAGTATTCTGAGATTACCATGTCTAGTTGACCACTTCTTAAAGAATAGTAATCTGGACTTTAAGTTCTCAGGATACCTAAGGAATTAAGCGTTTTTCATTTTTTCTCTTTCTTAATCACAACTTAAATTCCAAGATCCTTTAATTAGAAGATCAGCTGGGGATGGAGGATATGCTTAGTGTTAGAGCACTTGCGGTAAGCTGTGGATTCAATTCCCCAATATCAAAAACAGAGAGAGAGAGAGAGAGAGAGAGAGAGAGAGAGAGAGAGAGAGAGAGAGACCTTTTGATCTTTTCAATGTGAGAAAAATTATGCATATAGGCTACCTATATGTCCATTAAAAATTCCTTCCTACTATCTGATCCTTACATTCAAAGGTCTAGCGTTCCCAATGTTCATTTCTTGTGCTTTACATTTATTTAAACGATATTAAGGGTCTATAATGTGCCAGGCATCCTGTTACATGTCAGAAACACACGAAGAGCAAATGAAAACATGGCAACAATAAAATTTCTGCTTTCTTTCAAAAGTGTTGCAGCCTATGAAGCAGAATGAATATGGATTATTATTCCCAGGTTACAGATAGAGGAGCTATGTGCTCAAGAATTGAAAGGTCTTATCTAAGGTCTCACACTTGGTAAGCCAAGAGTCAGGACTTTAGAATTTCCCTGTTTTCAGGCTCAAGGCACTCTGAAATATTTCTTCAAAGGAAATCCCAGCCTCCTTAACCTCTCCATTTCTAAGGAGCAAAAGAGATGGCCTCTTTAATCCCTCTATAGTATTCACGAGCTCGTGAAAGTGGGACAGGTGTTTCCTGGGTGTTAGGAAGCAAGACACAAGTGGATTAAAGATCCCTAGCAAGCTTGTAACCAGACCAAGATAATCTGTGGAAACCGGAGCACCCTGCTAAGGCGAGGGTATTTTAATGAGGTGTCACAGGTGACTCATCATAAACGGGTTGCTTTTGGGCCTTCTAATATTTTTCTTCAGGTTGGGATGTCTGATTTCTTTTGCATTCTTGGACAATAGTTTTGTACAATTCTAAATTTTTCTAATTTCACAGCCATCAGGGTGATCTTGTTTTCATACCGGAAGCAGTCATTGCCACGAAGTTTAGGAAATGAAGGAAAAGGTGAAAAAAACGAGCCAGCGACCAAGACAGAGGCCTAAAATGGGGAAATTCTCACTAGGAGAGCTTCGCTTACCCCAGCCCCGAGAATGACAGCTTTCCTCGCGCTGAAGACTACGTCTCCCGGCAGGCATTGCGCGCCCCGCGGGCACAGGCTGGCAAACTCTCTGAGCTCCACCTCCGTCCTAACTAGCCAATAGGAATCGCCGGCTCCGTCCTCCGCCAGACCCGGACCACGAGGGCGCGTGGGCAATCAAACTACATTACCCGATGAGCCCGTGCACGGGTTGTGGCCAATTAGAGCCAGGAATTTGGAGGATGGGGGCGGAGCTGGATGTATAAGATACCTCATTGGCCAGCAGACGCAAAGGAGAGCCGGAACCCGGGAGCTAGAGAAGCGAAATGACATTTCCTCTTTAAATAGCCAGAGCCGGGGCCCCCATCCAGAAATGGCCGCGTCGGCAGGTGGGTAGCGTGGTGGCGGCCGGGGTGGTGTTGGAAGGAGGTGTGCAGGGAGCGGGGAGGTGAGCCGGGACCGGGCGCTAGCTGCAGGCTGAGGAGGTAGAGACGTGGGACCGAGAGAAGGATGGAGAGGTGGAGAGGAGCGGGGAAGGAGGATGAATGGCTCGGAGGGAGGTGGGCGGCGCGACCGGCGGGGATGGGGAGGCTGGGTACCCGCCAGCGCAACGCGTTCCGGAGGCGGCTGGGGGCGCCGCGTGGGCCGCCCTCCGTCCAGCCCCCTTCCTGAGTCCCCGCAGATACCTCAGCTGTCTGCCCACCAGTTGGTTCTTTCTGCGAGCACGGGGCAGCGGGCTCTCCAGGCTCCCCTAGGCTGGCCTGGGAACTTGTTCCGCAGCTCGCTCTCTGCTCTTTGCCTTCCAGATCCTGTGTCCTATGTGTAGACAAATACGTATTTGTGTAGGGAGGCGGGAGGGGGCGCGTCAAAGAAACATGCCCGCGCGCGCGGGCACACACACCCACCCACACACCCACACACCCACACACAATTCTTCGACGCCGTCTCTGGCTCGAACTTCTTGTGGTTCTACGATTTCTCTTCTCCTAGATTTAAGTAAGTCTTCCCCAACACCGAATGGGATTCCATCTTCAGACACAGCGAACGATGCCATGGACCCCTTCCATGCTTGCAGTATTCTTAAGCAACTCAAAACAATGTATGATGAAGGACAACTGACAGACATTATAGTGGAAGTGGATCACGGGAAAACCTTTTCCTGTCATAGAAACGTTCTTGCTGCAATCAGCCCTTACTTCAGGTATGATGATAGTGGAAACTTAACCCTAACTGCACGGAGCTCCCTATTCCCCTCAGTGTTGTCTGTTTGATTATTATACTGAGATGGGACAATAAAATGAAACCCATGAGTTTTGGTTTTTGAATGTAGGTGACATGCCATGTCTTAATAAGCCCTTGTTTTTGACCCAAGAGAATCTTATATAGTTCATGAGGTAGGTTTTTAAGTTAATGGACTTGTGTTTGTTAAAGTTGATAACCTGAAAATCTAGATTTATGCTACTCAGTATGGCAGCCACTAGCCATATATGACTATTTAAAGTTAAATTATTTAAAATGAAGCAAAGTTAAAAATTCAGTTCCTCAGGTACACTAAACACATTTTGAGGATATACCCATATGTGGCTAGTGGCTGCCATCTTGGACAGCACAGATATTAAACATGTCATCCTTCAAAGTTTTATGGGACAGTGGTGATCTAGAGTATGTTCCAAAAAATTACTCATGATACATATTTCTTTAGAGTGTATAACTCTTTTAGAGTTTAAAACATAGAAGCTTGTTTCTTTATAAAGTACTATACACTAGATTGTTTTAGTATTATGGAAGGAAAGGCAGTGGAATAAAAATGAATGAAAATTTGGTTTCTATGTGTCTTAGGCCCCATGGTACTGATTATTTCCAAGATTTCTGGAAGTATTTTTATGCTGTTTTCATTTTCATTTGTATTAGTTTTGTTTATCATAAATTATTGAAAATTAAGAATATAAAACTTGGGTCTGAAAAATAGCTTCCTACTCTCAGAAAAGTTGAGTGGAAAAGGCAGTTTCATGCCTAAGCATAACTTTGAATAAGTGCTCACTTTTTTAAGCTTTCCATATTCAAAAGTAGTACATGAGTGATGGTAAAATCACCTTCTCAACCATACACTAAAAGTACTTTTTCCTTTTGAAGGTGCTTAACTTTTAGGGCCCATAGCAGTGTAATGATACAGCAGGTAGTTTCTGGTTCCTCTTTTTCAGAGTGCTGGGTTAAATATAGTTACATGCTTGTAATGTAACCATTTAGACTTGCTTGAGTAAGTCACTGGACTACTGAGTATTAATTATCACAGGATGGGGCCAGGGATTTAGCTCAGTGGTTTCGCCGCCTGCCTAGCAAGCTCAGGGACCTGAGTTCGATCCCCGGTACCAAAAAAAAAAAAAAAATTTATCACAGGACAGTGAGCTGGAAAGAAAAAAAGATGAAATTCACATATGTACCAAGTACAAAGATTGGCTTGGCAATGAAAACTGATGGTGAGATTTATCTACCCAGGCTATTAATTACATATGATCATGTCATTTATATATTTAAATATATGGCCTGGTTACTCCTTATCAAATGCTGGCTAAGCTTACTTTATATGTATTGGGTTATAAAATCTCTATAAACCTATCTCTGTACAGTTGTTATTCCCATTTTATATATGACAAAACTGAGGCTCAGTGAGTAATGCCTAAATCATCTACCTGATTAGTAAATATGTCCAAAGGTAGATTTGATTCCAGAGCCAGGCTTCTTAGTCACTGTATGACTTAAGGAACAAGTAAAAATGAGTCCTCTTTAAAGTTTCCTTTCAAAGTTTTTTATTGTATATTAGATTTGAATAGCAAAAGAGAAAAATGAAACTTCATAATGAAAATTACTACATCTAATTGAAATTTTATGCTCTAAATTAGCATTGAAGGCCTACACATATTACTTTAAAGATGATGTATCCACCAGGCATGGTGGCACATGCCTGTAATCCCAGCACTCAGGAGGCTGAGGCAGGAGGATCACCATGAGTTCCAGGTCGGCTTGGGCTACACAGTCAGTTCAAGGGCAGCCTGAACTACATAGTGAGACCCTGTCTCAAAAAACAAAAACAAAACAACAACAACAAAAGAAGTATGTATACAATAGATGTTCTTAATTTCCAAGAAGTTAAAAAAATGCTCTGAAAACTTCCTGAGCATAAGGTATGCGAATTCCAATTAAGATGTGTGGCTAGAAAACTGAAGTATTAGATTAAATTCTCTTGCTAGAATTTTGGTACAGAAGTTTCTTGGCAGCAGTGCTACTCCTGATATGGGATGGAGAATGTCATACTTAATAATGTCTGAGTCTTGCATCATAGACAGAAGAATTAGAACAGCTAGAAATCTGGTATGGCAGGGACGTGTCAGAATTAAAATTTGTATGATTATTAGAAAACTTTTACTACTCAGAATTTTGTAAGTAAACTTTATTTAGAGTTTACTTGAAGAACCTATTAAAACAGAAAACTCATCAGATATCAGACCACTCAGGACCAGCCTGTTCAAGTCCAGAGTAGTTCCCATGATGAAGGGATATGCGGTAATGTGTTCCTGTGGGAGTTAATCTCTGCCTAATGAAGGGCTTTATTTTCCTTTCTAATTGGTAGCTGTATAGGTGAGTCTTTCAGCACATGAATTGAAAACCAGCTCGTACATAGGAACATTAGTCATTAAAAAAAGCCTGTTAAATTTTACATTGTAGAAGTAAAAACAGAACTAAACATTGATTATTGTACACAGCAAGCTTTTATACCCTTAATGTTTCTCATATTACATTTAAGATTAAGTCCATGTGTTTGTTGGAGATTTCAAATGCAACTGGAAATATTCTCATTTTAAGGATATTTCTCATAACACTTAAAACTAAAAAGGGAGGAGTTTGGATTTCAGTAATTAACTTTATCACCAATATTAGAACAATCTCTCCAACAATTGTTTGTGAAGTATGCTAAACTTTGAAAGCAAAGATAAATATGGCAGAACTGCTTCTTCAAATGACTTTTAAAACAAATTTTTATATTTATTCTATAAACATCCTAGAATGAAACCTTGAAGGAAAATAAAGGTAAATGATGTTTGTAAATGACTAACACTTCAAGAGCCATTGTTTTTTAGCTACTTAATATTTTGGCCAAGAAAGTCTCATAAATACACCAATAGTTTTAATTTTTTAAAAAAGCTTGCTCTTAAAGACAGAAGTTTGGGACTTAAAAATCATTATATCTAAAGTATCAATAATGTGTTAAATGTTAAATTCTCTTTAGAAGGCATATTGACACTACAATAGTGTTTATTTATGTATAGATATAAATAAGTAAAATATGGTAACTTTAACTAAAAATATAAAGTATCTTGTTTATGGATAGTTTTCAAAATGTCCAAGAATAAGTCATCTTTAAATTCCTTGTAAGGATTAAAGGAACATTCAAAAGATACTAGATTTTAAAGGAGGAAGTAGAGAATATGCACTTTTGAAGAACATCTTGATTTTTCTAAGATGAAATTTTTAAAGATATATTTTGGGCACAAGTTGCCTTGTAATTTCCACTGGGACATACAATTTTATTAGACTATCTGTTAATGTAGCATATTACTACTCTTACAGGTATTCTTAAACTTTCTGGATCATGTCAATTTAAGATCTCATTCCCTAAGGCAACTTGGGTAGAAGCTGGGATAGGGATGCCAAGGAAAATCAGGTGACCTGAAATATGCCATGTGATTCGCTGGTTTGCTTTACTTGGGTATATTCTTTTTTCATAGCTGGCACTGTGGGAGAGAGACCAGTTCCCTCTAACCCCCTCAGTTTTTATGTGGGCTCTTTAATTGGACCTATGGACCCAATTAATATAAGAGCTGATTAGTAAGTGGAAAGCATAAAAGTTTTATTAATTTTACCTGTACATGAGGATCCCAACAGAGTCAAGTCTGTAGAAATAACGAAAGCATGATTCTGTTGTACTTTTTAGACAAAGAACATAAAATTTGGGAAGGAATGACAAGGCAAATAGATGTCTGGACTAGGGCAGTAAATTTTAGGGATGTTACCGAGAGATATCAGGGAGAGAGGAAGAAGCTCATGGAAGATAAAGGTTACTTGGAGAGTTTGTCTATTCAAGCTCACTGCAGCCACAATTGTCCAATTACTCGGGTGATCGAGGCTATTTTCTAGCCTTGGTATATGAAGAACATCCTTCCCAAAAGACTGCATGGCTTGCTGTTGTAGGGAAAGACAGACAGTTACAATTCCTCAAGTGATTTCACTTGAAATAATCTGCTACTGTGGCATATTTGGGGATGGCTCACCTTTATCTCCTTCAGCATAAATTGGACTAGCAATGAGAATAGGGATTTAGAGAATACTTGCACTAAATCCTTCTGCTAGATGAGCAGTTTTTCTCCCTGTCCAGAATATTGGAATATATTCATTTAGTTTGAAAAGTTTATCTTTATGATAACTTTATACTTTCAAAATTTGCCACAATAATTTTTATTTGCAGCACACAAAAATTATTAACACTCTTTCTTTCTTAGATCCATGTTCACGAGTGGCCTTACAGAAAGTACTCAAAAAGCTGTTCGAATAGTTGGTGTTGAAGCTGAATCAATGGATTTGGTATTGAATTACGCCTACACCTCTAGAGTTCTTCTGACAGAGGCCAATGTTCAAGCTTTGTTCACTGCAGCTAGTATCTTCCAGATTCCTTCCATACAAGATCAGTGTGCTAAGTATATGATCAGTCATTTGGACCCACAGAATTCTATTGGCGTCTTTATTTTTGCTGATCATTATGGTCATCAGGAACTTAGAGATCGATCGAAAGAATACATTCGTAAAAAGTTTCTGTGTGTCACCAAAGAACAAGAGTTTCTCCAGCTGACGAAAGATCAACTCATAAGCATACTGGACAGTGATGACTTAAATGTAGACCGAGAAGAGCATGTTTATGAAAGCATTATAAGGTGGTTTGAGCATGAACAGAATGAGAGAGAAGTGCACCTTCCAGAAATCTTTGCCAAATGCATCCGTTTTCCTCTGATGGAAGATACCTTTGTAGAGAAAATTCCACCTCAGTTTGCACAGGCTATAGCCAAAAGCTGTATAGAAAAGGGACCATCTAGCACCAATGGCTGTACACAGAGGCTTGGAATGACTGCTTCTGAAATGATCATATGTTTTGATGCTGCTCACAAACACTCAGGAAAGAAGCAAACAGTGCCTTGCCTAGATATAGTCACAGGAAGGGTGTTTAAACTGTGTAAGCCACCAAATGACCTGAGAGAAGTTGGAATTCTTGTATCACCAGATAATGACATTTACATAGCAGGCGGGTACCGGCCAAGCAGCAGTGAGGTCTCCATCGACCATAAGGCAGAAAATGATTTCTGGATGTATGACCATTCCACCAACAGATGGCTGTCCAAACCATCCTTGCTTCGGGCCAGAATAGGCTGCAAACTTGTATATTGCTGTGGTAAAATGTATGCAATTGGAGGTCGTGTTTATGAGGGTGATGGGAGAAATTCACTGAAATCTGTAGAGTGCTATGACAGCAGAGAGAATTGTTGGACAACTGTTTGTGCAATGCCAGTTGCAATGGAATTTCATAATGCTGTGGAGTACAAAGAGAAGATCTATGTTTTACAGGGTAGGTGCCAAAGTGATTTAGTTCTCTGAGGAAAGGTAATATGTCAAGTGTGCTATACTATTGTGCTGAAGCAGGTAACAGTTTTCGTTAATTGAATAATACCTCTGGCTTCTTTATCAGGAACTATGTGTTAGAACACTGTTCTGCAAAAGGGGTGTGGTGACACATGCTTGTAATCCCAGCACTCAGGAGACTGAGGCAGGAAAACTGAGAGGGCATCCTGGGCTACATGGCAAGGCCCAGCCTCAACCACCTCCCCACCCCAAAGAAGAAACTTTTGAATCAAAAAAAGTTGAAAATATTCAAAAGTATTTTTAAGTTACTAAAATGATTATGTGAAGTTTTTGTTCTTGTGTTTTGATATCATGTGAGGTATTTTTGAAAATATTCTTTAATAAATAATAATTCAGGATTTTGGGAGAACTATTTCTGAGCAGTTTTAAAGACTTTAAAGAATAAAACAAGGTTAATACATGGCTAATTTTGCTCTACATATATATGTGTATATATATGTGTGATATATATATATATATATAAAATCAAGAGATGTAGCACTGCTTTTTTTTTTTTAATGGGGTTTACAGGATTGGTTTAAAAGCAAAAGAAAAAATGAAGTATTGATTAGAGTTATACTATTCACTTACCAAAGATTTTTGTATAAGTTTTGTAATTGCAAAATTATAAAAATTGATAACAAAAAGGTAAAAATTATAGTCCTAAGATTTTTAGTTTCATGAAATTTATGTTGGCTTTTATAATAGGTTGTTTTCTTTTTTTGCACCAAAGAACTTTGAGATGTCACTTTTTTCCTTTATTATATGTGTGACTAGCTAATACATTTATCTTAAAAGAAGAAAAACTATCACAGGCCAGTATATCACTAAGATACAATAGAAGTAGAGTGATTGGGTAAGAGTATAGAAGATTTGATTTGTGAGAATAATACTTTCCTTATATTTTTTCTTATGTTTTAGTTGCTTGGATGTTGAATAAAATGTAGATAATACCAAAATCCTTATTCTTTTTTTTTGAGGCAGGGAATTGCTATGTAGTCCAGGTTGGCATTGAACTTACTGTGTGGCTCACGCAGGCCTAGAACTCTTGGTGACCCTCCTACCTCAGCCTCCTAATCTCCCAAGTTGCCAGGATTGTGGATGTATGCCCCCATACCAGCTCTTCTGTTTCTTAATGGGCTATATGTGAATGTTTTCCATATACTACTACTTGAGTAAAAAAGGAGAAAAGGCAACTTTCATGAAAATACACATAATTTTTAAGTTCTTATCTCATTTTAAAAATCATATTTTTTACTCTAGTCCTTTGACTTAAAATTTGCTGGAAATTCCTGAATGCTTTTGCTTTTGATATTAAGTTAATTCTCCAGAAGGAGGAGTACTCTCTGGTACCTTATTTTAGTTACATAAAAGCACATGCATAGGAAGACATATATACTTCATGCAGTATGGTTGGATAGATTTTATCCAATATGGTGAAACTGTGGGTGTGTCTTAGTGACTAGTTAGTTGATAGAAATAGAATTCATTATTACATTCCAAAACTGGAATATAAAGGTTATATATTAATGCAAATAGTGTTGCAAAATAGTGGTGGATTAATAGAATTTAAGGGCCAGAATGAGCATCATTTACACTAAGATTATATTCTATATAAGAGGAATGTGCGGTCTTGAAGGTTTTCTATAATTGGTTATTGATTTTTATTAAAGATGATGTTAGATTTTAAAAAATCAACTTTTCTGTATGTCATCTGTCCTTCATATAATTTAGAGAATTATCACATATTGAAAAGTTGTAATTCTTATCTTCTTTATCAAGACTCCAGTAATAAAGTTAGTCAGTAAGGCAGGTAATGTACAAACAGAAGCTGAGGCTCAAGTAAAATTGTTGTTAAAATGTCTGTTATTCAGGAGGCAGCTAAATATCTAGAGGAGAGTAACCTTAAGTGAAAACAGTTTTCAAGGGGAAGCTTAATTTAGATTCTGGTACTGCTAATCTGCACTAAAGTCTCTTTACATAAATAAACCTGGCATGAATTGTTGGAAGGTTATGTTGTACAGGTTGAGCACCCCCAATCCAAAACTAGACAATCCAAAATGCTCCAAAGTCTGAAACTTTTTGAATGGTAATTGTGACAGGTCACATTCTAAAAGTGGGCACACTAAAAATATTGTATAAAATAATTTTCAGGCTATGTATAAGCTGTATATGAACATAAATGAATTCCATGTTTAAACTTGGGTTTCATCTCCAAGCTATCTCATGTGTATGCAAATATTCCAGAGTTATTCTAAAATTATTTTAAATAAGGAATCCTCAAACTACAGTGACTCTTGGACTATAATCTGTTCATAAAGAGTTCAGAATTTTATTATAGCACTTAGGCACATGTTGCCATTAGCAAAACTCTTATAAATCTTCAGTACTTTAATTCTTACAGACACTTTCCTATTGGCAGTCTGACTTAGCATACCCTTTATTGTCAAATTAGAACAGAAACTGACACAAAGTCAACTCCATAAACCATGTGTACATTCCTATCTTTTCTATCTTACCCAAATTTTCTCCTGTTGAAATTTTTCTCAATATTTTTGCCACACTGAAGTAAACATATCAGTGACCATAAGCACAAATCTGAATGATTCCATATGCTGTCTTCTAATGAAATAATTACTGTATCAATGTGTAGTGTCTTGTTTATTATGAAACTACATATATGCATTTTGGCCTTGCTGGCTGCCCACTAATAATAATGCTTCTTTAGAGCTGGCTTCAAATAAATTTTCACTAACACACAATTGGCTAAAACTAATGGAACCAAGTCTTTATTATTCTGCCATCAAGCTGAAATAACTCCTTATACCTCTCCCATATGAACATTGCAATTCAGGTTGACTGCTGTATTATCTGTTACATATTTTAGAGAGTTAATTATTTGAAAACTAAACAGTATATGCTGTTTATAGTCTTTAGAGGTTGGAATTATAATATACAACCAACATTAAAAATGAAAAGTACATATTCTTTTTCTTTTTTAGGAGAATTTTTCCTCTTCTATGAGCCTCAAAAAGACTACTGGGGTTTTTTAACCCCCATGACTGTGCCTAGAATCCAGGGCTTAGCAGCTGTATACAAGGACTCTATCTACTACATAGCTGGAACCTGTGGAAATCACCAACGTATGTTTACTGTAGAAGCCTATGATATTGAGCTCAATAAGTGGACTCGTAAGAAGGACTTTCCATGTGATCAGTCTATAAATCCATACCTTAAGCTGGTCCTCTTCCAGAATAAACTTCATTTATTTGTTCGAGCTACCCAAGTGACTGTTGAAGAACATGTCTTTAGAACCAGCAGGAAAAATTCCCTTTACCAGTATGATGACATTGCTGACGAGTGGATGAAAGTGTATGAGACCCCGGATCGGCTGTGGGACCTGGGAAGGCATTTTGAATGTGCTGTGGCTAAACTCTATCCTCAGTGTCTTCAGAAAGTACTTTAATGAGGCCTTCATGCCTCACTGGAATCTCATACTGAAAATGCTTGTCTGAAGGAGTGATGTCAATATTTAAGAAAGCTGTGGGCTGGGGACAGCTCAGTGGCACCGCGCCTGCCTCCCAAGCACAAGGTCCTGAGTTTGATTCCCGGTACCGCAAAAACAAACAAACAAACAAACAAAAAACAAGCTGAGAGAGTTTTGTACACAGAAGTGGGTGCTGTTAAAGATTATAGCATAGGGAGGAATTTGCTTTCACTTTTGTGATGTTTTCAGTAAGGAAAAGGTAACAAAGTGCAATTATCAGCATTTTTTCCTGGCATAAAAGTCATTGTATCATTCTAGAACTGTGATAAATAGTCACTGAGATACTCAATGAGTCAAGACAACTATGCACCCCTTTAAGAGCAGTTAGGGTATTATTGGGTAGAGACATCAAACTAGCTTGACATAACTTTTTATTTTAAATACGGGTAACAATCTGAGGCAATATCACTAGGACTTTATTTAGCTGTGACCTCTCTAACACAGAGAAGCACTAACTTAGATCCTCATTCTTAATATTTATATATAAATTTACATATATATTTTTGTGTACTGTTTTCAAGTGTACTGAGATTTAAATGTGTTCTGTTATTAGGTAGACCGAAGGAAAATCAGTCTCAGAAAGAATTTTTAATCTGACTGTTTCACATTTTCCATATAACTTTAAGTTAAGCTAAAGTTTAAAGTGGTAGTTTTCTGTCAAAAACTTCTTCAAGTGCTAACACTGTTTCATTTTTTTAAAATCCTGGAAAGGGCTCAAATTTGCAGGTGGCTGGTGCTAGTATAAATTAATTCATGTATATAGCTAGGTATTTAAGTGGTCTGAGCCCATGCTTGTCTTTCAGATTAGTGTGTTTGTTTCATGGTCTTAGTATTACTTTACCTGTTGAATTCTTGTGTTATCACAAGGCTTGGTACTTACGTGATAGGATATGGCTAGATATTGGCTAACTGGATTTAATCATAGAACAGCATGACCATTGTACCACATTTGCATTAACATGGGCCATTTTGTTGCCCAACCTCCTTTTCCATCCTCTGCCTGTCCAGTCATTGTTGGTACAATCAAAGCTAACTTATAATGTGAAGTTTTACAGCTACCTTTAAAATTCTGTTCCAGAAACATAAAAGATTTGTGGTAGTCTAATAATTTAATGGCTTTTGAAGTTTCATATTATAGTGACAACCTCATTTTTTTTCTTTTTGCACTTCACAATGATGAATACTTTTATATTGAAATACTGTTCTAGCTGAAGAGGATTGACAAGGAAAAGAGTGCATGAACAGAACCATATAGCTTTATAGGTACTAAGTCATTTTTCATCTATAACTGATGAATTTCTAACAGAAATATTAATGTGAGGGACAAACCAACTTATGTGTATTTCTTGGGCAGATATTTAGATCGATGACTTTTTCTTCACTATGGCTGGAATAACTGATAAAAGATAGCTTAGAGTCTGTCCTCAGTTGGAACAGTTTTATTCTCTTGAAGAAAGCAAACTGGCATGGTTTGTATTTAAAAAGATCTTGCACAAATTATAATGTGATACTGTGAAACATTGAAAGCATTGCCTCTTTGCATCACATACCTCACTTTTCAGAAACTTTCCAAACTGCTTTACCAAGACCTGTACATGTAAGGACAGTTTTCTGAAGCAGAAGTTCAAGTGGACAGCATTTATAGAAGTAACATTTTAAAATCTAGTCTTAGAAAGCTAGATGTGTTGTTTCTTCTTATTGGCCTTATTGTCTGTAATCCCTTTTTAAACTTCATCAGCCAATGTTTTTCCTCCTCAATATTTCTTTGTCTTCTGTTTTTATCTTCATGCTGTTTGTGTTATTGAGTCTTTTTTTGAATAATTTTTTACAGTTTTATATTGCTGAGGGGAAGGAAAAATAACCAACTTTTACAAGAGATGTCCATGTAACTCACTTTTGAAAGCTTTGTTGAGTATCTAAGGTCTCTTGCCACTTTTTGACAATCTTCTGTATTTAGAAAAAAATGCATTACTTGAAAACATGACATAGAACATTAAGTTAGCATTGTCTAGGTGCCATGTGATACATAGGAGAACAACAATGTGGTTAGTTCTACAGTAGATCTGCACAACAGTTGATCCTTTTACTAGAACAGTTTATATTGAGAGTATGATCTATGTACAGTGTGTCAAAACCAAGGCTTAGAATTTGCTATGGGATTAGAATATATCTTGAATTTTGTATGAGGAGCTATTTGTTTACATTATATATAGCTGGGATATTTTGCCACTTCTAAAATGGTTTTAGAGGAGGTCCTAGAAAACTAAGATTAGTGATATGTGTGGGTTTATGTGTAGATCTTTAAAGCATATTTTCATAGTATGATGAGAACACAAGTAAAAGGCACAATGGCTACTGCAGAATTAAAAGCTCTAACGTATGCCAGTCCTACTTTACTTATGTTTTTGCATTTAAAGAATGTAAGTAGCACTTTCCTATATATTTTTTACACATTGAAAACTGGACTTGGTTTAACTGTGTTATAGGAAGGTAGAAATTGTATTCTTGATTTTCCATCTTCGTTTCCTGTTATCCTATAAAGTTGATGCTTAAGTGTTAAGCTAGTTTCTTTGCTGCATGAGAAAAAGTGGATATAATCTGTAAGGAATCAGAGTCTCTGTAAAGCAGTTTAAAATGGCATTCAATGTTCAGTGCTCAGGTATGTAGTAAGTACTGTAGTCCTATGGGGGCAAATGTGTAGATATTTTTAAACGTTTTGCTGTAATTGCACAAATTTTTGCATTTTTACCTGATGTCATTGTTTCTTATAATAAAACCTTTCTGACTGAAAACTTCGAGTGTTGTAAACTGACCTCTGATAAGTGAGTTTTGCAGAATTAAAATTTGATGAAAATCTTGAAATACCTCATGAATGATGTTTTAATCTATCCAATATCTGGCCTGTGATAGAAAATGAACTGGTTAATATAGGATGCTTTTTAAAATGCTAAAGCAAGCTCACTTCTATCAGTAACTCTGTCCTGGCCCAAATTGTTACTGCCCTCAACTCTTCTCTCTTTACACATTCCATATCTAATCCATCAGAAAATCCTGTTGCTTCCTCCTTTGCCAGACTCTGTCTGTGTGTTCCTGCACACTGTCACCCTCAGCTAGCCTGTCTTGTCTGCCTTAATGCAGTAGCTACTGACCTTACTTTCTTCCCATCACTCTTGACCCCTTGTATTCTATTTTCCCCCACATACTAACTAGTCCAAGTGATCTTGTTAAAACATAAACCAGTTCATGTGCCTCTTCTGGTCAGATCCCTCCAGTGGCTTCACATCTCTTCATATGCATGCCAAACCCCTTACATACATTATCTACATCCCCAACCTCATCTTTTAGACCTTATTGTCATTTCGCCAGCTCACTGACCGTGCTGTTCCTCAAACATGCTGAGCACCTCCAACACCAAGACCTGTGTCCTTGCCATATTGTCAGATCAGCCCTGGCAACCTACTTAAGTATTAAAAATGTCACTTTACCGGAGAGCCTTCCCTGATCACTTAATTTTCCAGCTCCTTCTCAACCCATGCCACATACTATTTCCTGCTTTTTCATATACATCCTCCCCCATTAAAAAGTAAGCTTCACAAAGTCCAGTAATTTGCTTTATTCACTTGCACTTTAGCTCAATGCCTGGCACCACATAGTTAGGCATTCAGTAAATGTTAGAAAGTAGAAGGAAATAAACTTTCAGTTATGTGTCAGACCACACTGAGAAGCAGTAGAACCAGATTGTCATCTTTGTTATTAGCAGATAGAAAACTCAAAGACCAAGTGAATTGCTAAAGGTCATCTAGCAAAGGGCTCGCCTGGGATTAGAAACAAGATTTCTACTTTCATCTCTCTCCTACATGCTATATTAGTTCCCAACAAAATGAATAGTAAAGGTAGATGCTCCATATTTTGATTAATGGTTGCTGTTTAGTGTTCCATTTCTCCCCAATGCTATTATTTAAAATATCTATTGCAATTTATATCTGATTCTTAGTAGATGGGGTAGGCAAATACCTCCTTTGTTTCCCTAACTGCACCTGCTCCCCATTATTATACTATTGTACTAATAAGCTATGGTTATAGGTTCTATCCCTCAAGTAAGTTGATCCTCTAAAGATTGTTCTGTTCATGTTATCAAATTTGTAGGCATATTGTTGTTCATAGTATTCCTTTTTTCTTCTAATGTCCATGCAGTGAGCACCCCTCTTTCACTTCCAACATTGGTAACTTGTATCTTATGGTCTTCATTAACCTGGCTGGAGGCTTACCAATTGTATTGGTCTTCTCAAGAATCAAGTTTTAGTTTTAGTTGTTTTTATGTATTGTTTTGAATTTCATTGATTTCTTTCTAACTCTTTTAATTTCTTCTCTCCTGATTGCTTTAATTGCCCTTTCTCTTAATTACCTAAGATGGAAGCTTAATTACCAATTTTAGATCTTTTTCTATGATCTATTTTAGATGTACAGAATGCTATACATTTCCCTCAAGAACTGCCTGAATAGCCTCCCACAAATTTTGAGATGTTGTACTTTTGTTATGTCTACTTGGAGAATATACTCTTTCATAACTTTAATACATCTTTTTATCCCTGATAATTTTTCTTGTTCTGAAGTCTTCTCTGTCTCAAATTGATAGAGACCCTTGAGCTTTCTTTTAATTTGTTAGCTTAATTTATCTTTATCTTTTACCCTATCTCGGTTTTTATATGCAAAATAGGCTTCTCATGGGCAACGTATAGCTGGGATTTATTTTCATATACACTGTGAGAATCTTTTTTAGTTGATGTGTTTCGACCACTTACATTTAAAGTGATTACTGATATATTCAGATTGATATCTGCCATCTTTGCAATTATTTTCTATTTGTGGCCTTTATGGTTCTTTATTTCACCTACTTTTTCCTGATTTCTGTTTTTGTTACCAGTACTGGGGATTGAACCCAGGGAGCACTAAGCTACATAGCTAGGACTGTTTTATATTTTATTTTGAGAAAAATTATTGCTAGATTGCTCAGACTCAACTCCAACTTCCAATTCTGCATCAACCTCTAAGTAGCTGGGATATTTTAGGTGTGCACCACTGTACCCAGCTTCTTTCTCTGCTTTTAAAGAAGCATTTTATATTATTTCCTCTTTATACATCAATTACCTTAAAATTTTTTCAGTGATTCCATTTGATTTACAATAAACATTTTAAAATTAATATAAGACCACCTTTAAAATAACACTGTACTGCTTCACGTATAGTGCAGGTACCTAACAACCAGGCTGCTAAGTCTTCCCTTCCAGCCCTATGACATGCATTGCTGTCATTCAATTTACTTACCATAATCTGTGGCAACCACTCAATACATTTTAGTTTTTTATTTGAAAGTTATCCTTTTTAGATCAATTTACATTAAAAAAATGACCTTCATTCATTGCCACTCTGACAGTGTTCATTTCTTTATGTAGATCTAAGTTTCTGATCTGTGTCAATTTCCTTCTCTCCAAAGAATTGGCTTTGTTTGACACTGCTTGCAAGTCAGGTCTGCAAGTGGTAAATTCCTGCAGATTTTGTTTGCTTGAGAAATTCTCCATTTCTCCTTTACTTCTGAAGAATAATTTTGCTGGATTTAAAATTCTTGATTTGTTTGTTTGCTTATGTCTCAAAGTAAATAGTGTCCTGATTAAATCTCAGTTGTTGAGTGGGCCTGTATCATGGGGCTATGACCTTCACAGGTGTTTCTCCACTTCATCTCCCCTCCTCCATTCTCCCTTCTCTAGCTGCAGCAGTCCCAGTTTTATTTCCTTGAAGCCTGGACTCCTGCTGACCCTGCTTTTTCCCTTAGGAGAGAAGAAAAAACTAAAGTGAGTTGGAGAGGGAGGAATGCTTTTCCCTCAGCTTTTATTAAGCTCGGTCAAAGTATTTTTCCCTAGAGAATAGGCCTTTGTTTTCTTTGTTTGAGATACTGGAGATTGAAACCAGGGAGGCTTGAGCTGCATCTCAGTCATTTTTCTTTATTTTGAGACAGGATCTTGCTAAGTTGCCCAGGCTGCCCTTAAACTTGCAATCTTCCTGCCTCGGCCTTCTGAGCTGGGATTACAGGTGTGTGCCACCACACTCACCTGGAATAGGTGTTTGTTATATAAAAGATTTTAACTGTATTTCCTAATTATTATTTCTCCTTTTCTCCAGTAAGAGTCACTAGGAGCTTTCTGAGATCTTTTCCATAAGAACACAGTGAGGTTCCAGTGGATGAAATCTACAAAATTATAGGGAGCTTTGACTGGAGTTCTTTGGAGTTTCCCTCTCATGAGTTCATTCTCAGCCTCCAGTAATTCATCAAATAATCATTGAGTATTCTTACAAGTTTATGGCTCTAGCTGCTGTCAGCCTAGGTAAGCATATCTTGACTGTGACCTTCTAGATTAACTTCCACTCCAGGCTTCAGGGTGACCGCCATACAACTTGATTTCTCTCACAGTCCAAGAGTCATTGATTTTCAGTTTAAGCAGCTTTTTCTCATTGCGAAGTTGAGGCTGAAGATATCTAAGATCTTAACATTTTCAGGACTGAATATAGAAGTCCCCGTAATAGACTTTTAATACATACATGTTGATTAGATGAATGAATTATCCTTTTTTTATATGTATGATGTATTTCACAATAAAATCAACTCACTTTGTTAAACATGTTCATGCACTTAATCATTTTTAGTATCTTTTACTTGTAATTTACATGTTCATGAAATTACTGGGCACATAGTTCAGTGAATGTTGACCCTCTGATACTCAGCTCTCTAGGACCAAATTAAAATTAAATGACCTAGTTCAATTAAAATAATCAATCATTCTGAAATATTTTTCACAATTTAAATTAAAAATTACAATGTAATCATTTAAAATTATCCTTATTGTGGTTATATGAAATATTTTCTATCGTCTAGTTTGTTAGCAAAAAAAGAGATTTAATAGGTCCTTTTTTCCTTTCTTCCCTCTTCCACAAATATATGTGTAACTCTATGATTTGGTAAACAAAACACTAATAAATATTAAGAAATGAAAACTGTAGTGTATTTTCTAAGTGTTTTATATTGGTTTTATGAACACAGATTACAGTGTTGTGGGTGACTGTGGGCGGATTACTTAACCTTTCGGAGCTTCAGTTTTCTCATGCATAAAATAGGCTAATAACATAACCCATTTTAGAGTTGGATCAAATAAGCATTTAAAACACTCATCACAGTGCATGATACATAATGAAATCTCCATGAATATTTGTTCTTATTAATATTATTCATAACTATACTTCTTTTAGACAGACTTAAAGCATAACTTTTGTAGAACAATATTCTATAATAGCTAACATAAAATATATACTAATGAGAAGTATAACCATTTGGACTCTGATTGTGCCCATAAGCCACGCATGAAAACAATTTTCACAGTTTTACAGTCACACAGTTCTCATTTTCATTTCTGGACTGTGCATTTTTAAAGGAGTGAAATTAAATATGGTATTTAAAGCAATTTATACAAAGCTTGTAAAATAAAAATCAGATTTTTCTTCCTGTTTTTAAGAAGTGAAAGGGGACTGTCCTAAGATTTTATTTTGTTATTTTGTTCTCATTTAGAGATACGGGTGATTTGAACAGCAAACATTTATTTCTCACAGTCTTAGAGTCTAGAAGTGGAAGTTGGAGGTGTGGACATACTGTGTGTCTAGTGGGGGTCCTTTTCCTATTTTGTTTTCATTGCATCTTTTTTATTGCATCCTCTATGATGGAGAGAATAGAGACAGAAAACAAACTCTTAACTGTGTGTGTGTGTGTATGTGTTCTTGTGCAGCACAGGGGATAAAACTCGGGGTCTAGGCAAGTGCTCTATCATTGAAGTGTTATCTCTAGTCCCTCTAATGTCTTTTTATAAAGACATGTGGGCCCTACCTCCATGACCATTGAGGGATTAGAATTCCAACTTATGAATTTGATGGGAAAGGGGGAAACAAATACGTGGCCCATAGTAGTATCTAATAGAGTTCTCAAAAATCCTTTGAGAATAAAAAAATAAAGTCAAAACACCATACCAATTTCTACTAGGATGTCAGGAAACCAAACTAAAGTCTTAAGGAGCCTATACTAAGAGGAACCACACAGTGTGGGGACTATTTCCTTGTAATCAGTGAGAACCCCAGGTGATAAGAAATCCATGGGTGTTCTTTTACAACTGGCCTAAAGCTAAGGAGTTAGGTCAAGATTAGTAATGGAACATAGGAGTCCAGCATCCCTAGAGCCAGTTTTAGTTGAATTTGAGTAAATGAACAACTTAGTTAAAAGATACAGTGCAAAATCAGGAGAAAATAGCTCAGAACAACATTTAAGAAATTCAATTCAAAGGGGAGAAGAAGACAACTGAGAAGTTACCAGTGAAGAAAAGGAACCTCAAAGTGGTAGTACTGCCAGAGAGGACTTCAAGAATGAGCTCCAAAGAGAACAAATCAAATTCCCACTAAAGGCTCCTGGAACTGGCAATTTAAAGGTCAGAAACAAGGAAGTTGTTTTTAGCAAAGTTTTAGGGATAGAACTCAATTAATGAGGAGGCTGTGAATGGGCAAATGTGCAGGCACTCT